TGTCGAAGGCCTTCTCAAAGTCTCTAAAGTTGAGGTAGAGGTTTGATTGCTATTCCATGCTTTGTTCAATGATGATGCGTAGAGTTGCAATTTGGTCAGTACATGATTTGCCTTTCCTGAATCCAGCTTGTTCTGGTCGGAGTTCTGTCTCCAGTGCTTCTTTTACTCTCTACAGGATGATGCGACTCAGGATTTTATTTAACGTCGACAGGAGCATGATTCCTCGCCAGTTCTTGCAGAGTCCTAAGTCGCCCTTCTTTGGTAGTTTGACTAGAGGACCTTTCCTCCAGTCAATAGGCACTTTTCCCTCCTTCCATAGCTTTTGCAATAATGGAGTCAGCATATCTGCTGTCGTCTCTGGGTCTGCTTTCAGTGCTTCAGGCGGTACTCCATCTGCTTTTCCAGCTTTCAGAAGCCTGATCGCATTCAAGACTTCAGCTTTCGTTGGAGAGAAGAAGTTCCGATCAAACACAGAGATTTTGTGATATTCTCAACCCAGAAACTAGATTTTATTGAAGTAGTAAGATACTTTGGGTAGAAAACCTCAGGAATTCAGTCTCTAATCACTGGATTACCATAGTGATAATGTCAGATATAGGCCAAGTTCTTGCATCCTTTTTGACAAAGTCAAACCCTTAAAAAATAACTCTTGAAAATTAATCTACTACCCTCTGGTGACTGGCTACAGAACGAAGCTTCTTGGAATTCTAGTGAGACGTTGTCACCAGTGGTTTTCAACAGATGGGACGTGAAGAAAAATATTTGACGATGACATTGTCTAGTCATCACACTAAAACCAGCAATTGGTTATGAACCATTGGATAGTGTTGCGAAGGCTGAACAGTCTACGAGATTCCTTTGTAACTGGCAACTCTACAGCTAGAACCCTGGTTGGTTCGTACTATTGGAGATTGTCTAAAGAGGTTGAAGTAGCTGTCCAGTACCGCATAGCTTATTTCAATGGTTCGCTAATTGACATCAACCCGTGACCAAACCTGAAACCAATCAAATATCTACGAATTTTTGTTTATATATAAATAAGTTAACCTGATTGAGATAGCAAACATACAGGTGTTAATTTGAACCACCCCATACTGTTGTAATAGTGTTAGAACAAGAGATTAATTGACATTTTGCAGTTGAAAGCCCTGCTGAGATGTATTCAGGAGTAACAATTGCATGCCAGTGTTACAGTTATCAGAATGGACTAATCACTGGCGAAATCTCACCATAAATACAAAAGGCTCGTGTGTCAATCGCCAGTTTACGTCATCTTTCATGTGGAGATAACATCGGACTATCTCTCAAAGGGCGTGTCTACTGCACAGCAGTTTGCTCTATCCTCCTCTAAAGATGTGAAAAATGGCCATTGAAATTGGTGCATATGAAAAGGTTACCTGTCGTTGATCATAGTTGTCTGTGATCTATCTCCAGTGCTAGGCGATATAATAATATTAAAGTGAGTAACACTGATGTTAGGCGCTGAGTGTCAGGTAAGGTGTTACGCAGGTGGAACCATCACCTTCTTTAATGGATAGTGTTATCTAACACAGAGTTGGGTTGGAAAATAGTTCAGGATGGCAAAATCAAAACTTTATGTCAGTTTATGTAGTGTTTAACTTTTGAAATGAGCCACTCATGAAGGTGTAGACTGCTTCATTGGGGTCGTTAGGTTGCTAAGAACCACTGACTGGAGACTGTTGGTAGTATGGCTCAGAATCATTGTCATTTGCACAGATATATTCACTCTTTATGACCTCTCATATAAATTAAACCGTACTGAGCTCATTTCTGTTCAGTTATAGATCTTTCAGATCCCCTTTGTCTACCTTTGTGTGCTACATGGAATATGGCAACTTGAATTGTTGCACTTCTGTGCAAACTTCTATATAGAAACTTAGTCAGTTAATCATATACATCAGCAAGTTGGATTGATTAATAGACAAACCGACATTGATTTTTTACTCTGTAACTTCGGATCACATACTGAGGTGAACTTCAAGCGACATCACACGTCAAGCCCTGAAGTGGAAACCGTATGGCAAGCAACGGATTGGGCGTGAGTCCAAGAGTAACATGAAGAAGTTGATGTGGAGAGAAAATGAAAACTTTTGAGCAGTCGTAGAGATGGAGAGTCAAAAGACAGACGTGTAACTGAAGCCCTATGTCTCAATGACCTGTCATAAAACAGACAAAATCTTAGAACATAATCCACTTGAGTCAAAAAAAATTAAATGATGACCGTATACAACGGGTATGTCTTTGAGACATGAATTTTATCTAATTTATCTAACACATTCAATTTATTAGAGAACTTTAATGGTACACATCAAGGAATATGAATTTGATGGAAAATTTTGTTTTGATGATATCACCATTAAACGCAGGACAGACTATACACCAAAGGGAAGACAAACAGAAAATTTATGAAAATCATTGGCTAAAATATTCCTTGGGGCTGTGTACATCAGTGTACTACTACCTATCAGAAAAATAGAAATACAACCACTCGACAATCCAGTACTGTGCTATGACGCAGCAAACTTGTTTAGCAAAAGAGGCCTAGGTACATAGTTGAAGGCAGATGTGTAATCTAGGAAGGCACAACGAACATATTTGGCACCTCTATCTATACTAGAGGCAATATTATGATATAAGACCATGTAGGCATATAAAGTACACCTACTATGTTTATAAGCAAATTGATTGGGGTCATTAAAACCTTTCAACGAAGGTTCAAGGTTAAATAAATGCAGCCTTTCCATTATTTTTTAAAAATGCTGAAGTAATGGCAATAGTTCTAAACACAACAATTGGTCCATTTAGTGATTTGGACATGGGAACAATTTTAATATCGTCCCAAGAAGCAGGCACAGTGTTACTGTAAAATGACTCATTGAAAATACCGGTGAGAGGATGATATAAATTATTAGCACATTTATTGAGGATGATAGCTGACACATTATATGGATCAGACGACTGAGTAGGTTTCAAGGATCTGAGAAACTCAAAAATATCGTTTAACTTAAGGCATTTGAGAACATCAAATCAGCTGGACGAAATATGAAGGACTTATTAATAGTACCAGTGTGGTGAGAGCAGGCTGCTAGCCGATTGGTTGGCACTAATCTACGTTAAGGTCTAGGTCACTAATATGGGCCGTGAGAAAATATGAACAAGCCTGAGTCAACAACCAATCACAGCAAAGTTAACGTGGCAAAATATGATTCGCAGATAGAGAACTCTATTTGTCAAGGAATCCCGAAACAACCAATCAGAAGCCTGCGTTTGTCTACCTAAACAACCAATCAGATGACTGCGCTTGTCTATAATAATGTAGTTGAAAGATGTATAAATACGTGTTGATTTTCATAATAAAACGATCTGTTGCCTGGCCCTTGTCTTCTGTTGTTACATTTGGTGTCGCTGCCTACCGACAAATGGAAAGCCTATGCCCTGCTGTTTTTGATGGAGACATATGGATCTTCGGGCAGGACTTCAAGGCTTCTGCGCAGTTGAGTGGCGTTCAAGATCTGTCAGCGATGGAGCTGCTACTTGGGGCGCTGCTGGGAGGTCGGGTGAAAGCAGCATATGAAAGTGTGAGCCGAAGTATGGACGAATGTTCGACAGGGTCAGGCAAACAGTTTCCAAAGTGGGAAGGACCATATATGGTCACTTCGAGATGGGGTTACGCAGACACAGTCGCAATGGCGAACAATAAGAGGCGCGTGAACGTCAGCGAGCTCCAGAAACGGATACAGCGAGACAAGCCAACGATGACGCCTGCACCAAGTAGATCAAGCCGACTTCAGTCGCACGTATTTGACGGGGGGACGAGTGTGGTGAGAGCAGGCTGCTAGCCGATTGGTTGGCACTAATCTACGTTAAGGTCTAGGTCACTAATATGGGCCGTGAGAAAATATGAACAAGCCTGAGTCAACAACCAATCACAGCAAAGTTAACGTAGCAAAATATGATTCGCAGATAGAGAACTCTATTTGTCAAGGAATCCCGAAACAACCAATCAGAAGCCTGCGTTTGTCTACCTAAACAACCAATCAGATGACTGCGCTTGTCTATAATAATGTAGTTGAAAGATGTATAAATACGTGTTGATTTTCATAATAAAACGATCTGTTGCCTGGCCCTTGTCTTCTGTTGTTACACCAGCATCAACTGAAGAAGGATCATTATTTATTTGCTTACCCACAGTGATTCCCTTGAATAGCATCCACACATTTGATGAGGTTCCGCATGGATAATATTTAACCTCTGTATTTCTGATTTAATTAGATTTTTCAGTCTCTTAACACCAGGAGTATCTTTCATCTTGTTTAACCTTTCTTTTTCTTGGTGAAGCTTTTTGATTGGATACTAGTAACTAGTGTGATGTGTCCACTCCTATCTCTTTGGTACAGACTGAATTCTATCAGCCAAGCTTGCAATGTGGCCACCATTCTATGTTGCTCGCCAACACGGCGCACATTGATTTTATGATATTAGATGGTTGGAGGCTATCGGCCCCAGGAAGCCCCTCCTGACCTAGGTTTCGTGCTACTTGGCACTCACCAGTTAGCAACTCGAATCTAAAACCCCGAAGGAACTCATGTCACTTCTGAAAATCGAACCCGAGTCTTCCAGTACTGCAGTCAGAGACGTCATCACTGAGCTATTCAGGCTCGCGATTGACTTCCTGTAAGACTTGTAATGAATACTTTGATAGGACACTAGTAACTACTGTGGTGTTTCTAGTCCTTTCTTTAGTGCAGATCGAATTCCATCAGTCAGGTTTGCAATGTAGCCACCATTCCATGTAGCTTGCCATCACGACGCACATGGATTTGATGATATTAGAGCTTTTTCAGCTGAGATAGGTGAGAAGAAGTGGTGGTCATGTCTTTCTAATGAATTCTCTAACGGATCTCAGTTTATGAACAAACCTGTAACTGACCGAATCGTCTCAAACCAACACTCAATCGACAAATCAAATAATTTTTTTATACAAATCGTCTTTTAGCAAACCTTTTTATTAACAGTATACAGAAATAATTCGCTTGGAAAAAGGATTTTTAACTGTGATTGATTCCGCGAAAATTTCGATGATGAATAGAGAGGCTTTATGAATAGAATAAAAAACTTTTGCTTATTTCTTCATTTGTTGATTTTGTAAAAGAATTCTCAAATACAATATAAACAAATTTTAAAAAAAAGAGATAAGAAAGTACACACCCAAACTGAAAGTAAGTGGTAATCAAAAAATATCGAATTTCCTTCATATTACTTAAAAATACTCCTAAGTAGTAGTATGTAATCAATTGAAAATACACATACAATCAAAAAATAATGACAATAAACAATTGAAGTGTGTACTTTTCAATATTATAGCATACTTGTAATAATAATAATAAATAAATGGAAGCATTGAACGCTGAAAAGTAGACGAAAATTTATTCTCCTCCTCCAGTTGACGGCTTGATTACAAGCATTCCTGCCGTTGATAAGTAGTACTTCAGTAGGTGATTCTATGGTAATTTAATTTCGCCATCATAAAAAATAAAGTAAATGAGGGATGGGTAGAGAGTGGGTGAGTGAGAGAGAGAGAGACAGAGAGGAGAAGGAAGAAAATTACGTAAGTGTGAGAAATTTTTTCTTCTGTTAATAAAATGAACAAATAAACAACGACAACAACAACAATACTACTTAATCTAATATACTACTTATATTACTACCGTTAACTTACTAAGCAATGATGAATGAACACGTAGGTAAATAAAATCATACGGGTCATTTAAATAAACAAAAATCTCACTTGGACTTTGAATAAACAAACGAAAAAAATTGTTGTTGGAAAACTACTCATCTTAATAGTATGCGTCCATCTTGAAGCTCTTCAAATGTGTAGACATTGATAGAATGTCAAGTATTTTGTATAAAGAAGCATCGGAGCTAACTAAAGCGATAACAACTGTTTTTGTTTTGCTTTAAGTCAACTCTGATTCTCCTGTTGATTGATTGGACAGAAGTGGTTGGATTGTGTTGACACGTCGGTTCCCAATGCTGACGCTTCGACGTCTTGAGTCTTAGATGAAACACCACCATTCACTAGGGACTACAGGTACAACTAGGTGATGAGTCCCAAATGAGACGAAAGGAGCATCCTGCATCCCATCGTTAATCACCATTTGATTGTCTGCAGTAAAATACCAAAGTATACTTCATCCTCCTAAACGACTAACGTTATGGGCCAACTTTCGTTCACTATAGTCATACAGAGAAGAATTACACCTTAGGCTGCAATAGATCGTAGAAGAAAAGCCTTTGGCTGCAACATTAAGTGACGTGTATTCAAATCTCTGACCACAGACTTGACAGATACGCCTTACTGATGCGTCCTGACAGGCAAAAAAACACTCCACGACTTCCTATCGATTGCTTGCAACAACTTCAAAATCAATTCAGAGTTCATCTCAATGATGAATTAAATAAAGCCTGTCAGCCGATAACATTGCGAACTTGACTAAAAAAATCTGACAGTAGTAACACAAAGATCTAGAGATACACATGATTTTGGTTATTCACACATGGCGAATTATTGTTCAGTATTTTTAATTCTCCAAATTAGTTTCGTTCGATTCAATAATTTTTAATTTAATTAACTTTTTTTAAATTTTTGATTTACAGCTTCATTCCACACCGTATTGTTGGTACAAGTATGGAATTTTCACCATGGATATCGGTAGCCCAAATTTCACAAGCCGACCATTGATATCAGGTGTGAGTCGGCAGGGGATCGAACCTCGGACCATGTGCATGGTCGGCGAGAGTCCTAATCACTATGCCACCGACGCAACCACAGGGTTAGAGCTATATGCTCAGAAGAGGTAACTGAAGATGAATTAAGCATTGTATATGATACCTTAATTGAAAATACCTATCCAAACAAATTCATCAGGAAAAATATAACCAAGAAACTTGAAATCGGCTATTTACTATCTGTAAACAAGAAGCCTTCATACATACAACTGCAATTCAAGAGTGATATACATAGCGAAGTAATTAGGAAGCAGTTAACAAAATCACTTCAAAGAACCTTTAATGCTGGCAAACTACACGCCTTATTCTCTACACGACCGATGGTGCTACCTCGACTGAAAGATGAAGTACCTACACTAGCTAGCCACTTCTAACTCTATCTATCAATTAAACTTCGCTTGTGATGGAGTGGGTTATATTGGCTGTTGCTCTAGGGGCTTGATTGTTCGTGCTCACTGAGGAACATCTACCAGTGTGGTCAAATAAAGGTGTAGTAAAAACCATCAACAGTTCGATATTAGTCTCCGACTACTGTATAAATGGCAAATTTGATCTTTACCTTTTACCCGTGATTACTCTTAATAAGCTGAAAAGTCCAAGTTCACTTTGTGACCAGGGGAGACAGAAATATTCTAAAGGCTCATGCCTTAAGGTTGGATCACTTGATGTCGTCCAAGACGTGGGGTGTAGGAGGGGGGAAAGTGAACCCTTTAGGAATAAACACAAAAATACACTGAGATGATCTTTTCACCGTCGCTTAATCAAATTCATGAAAACAATCAATTATGTTTACCTACCTGTAATTACTGTAGTAGCACTTGTTGTCCCCAGTGTATTCGATGCAGTACACGTATAAAGATCTCCGAAATTCAATGTACTAACAGGCTCTAAATCCATGATTAAATCACGTATTAATCCAGCATTTAAGTAGGTCAACTTGGTGCTAAAGAAAGACAAAATGAGTAGAAAAATATAGAGTATTGTGTGTGTGTGAGCAGTACACCAAAAATGTCACTACCTTGTTAATGTAACTATTTATATACACGGCTGATACAGATAAATACGAGAGTTCGATTTCCCCTCTTTCGTTGGACTTATAGGTTCTAGTTTAGAATCTAAACAGAAGGTTCATTGAACGTAATATCAAGAAAGAATCCGCCCCGAGACTAGTCACAGTACCAAAGAAAAAGCTGTTTATGAGTCTTGCATTCAAAGGTGACACCATTTCAGAAGTGATTAAAAATCGTTTATCTAAATGTGTTAAACGCACTTTTCCTGCAGCTGACCTGCAACTAGTTTTTACCAACCGAAATATGATTAGACAATGCGTCAAGGATAGATTACCGCTTTTGTCCACATCTATGTGTATTTACTCTTTTACCTGCTCTTGTGGAGCTGTTTATATTGGACGTTGTAAGCGTAATCTCCGAAAACGTGTAGCTGAACACTATCCGGTTTGGTTAATGAAAGGCGAACGTAGAACTGCAAAATCGTCTATTTGTGATCACTTGTTAGAATCTGGTCATTCAGCCCCACGTGATTCATCTTTCAAAGTTATCTACATGGCAAAATCGAACCGTTCCAAAAGTTTACGTTTTCTTCACTTATGCATAGCCGAAGCTTTAGCTATACATGAACAGAAACCTAAATTATGTGTTCAAAAGCGTTTTGTCAAACCCCTTTCTTTACCTTGGTCATAATAATGTTCTTTCTAGTTTTTATTTTTTTTTTACCACTTGAATTCTTTCCACTTCACTCCACATATTCATTCTTATCGTAATCGTACTCCTAATTTTCAAAATTTTTAGACAACACTTGACATTTTTGTTATAAAACAATCTTTAACATTTTTGTAATTTATCCACTTCAACTCTACCCCTTATAACTTTTATCACATATATCCGTACATTGACTGAGCAATTATCTAGTGCCACTCAATAACCTTTTTCTGTAATATAAATACGACTGTACAGCTTGAAAATGAAGTCGTTGAAAAGAAATTTCTTCGCTGAACAAAAACTGTGTTTTTACTAAACAGAAGCGTCAGTATATGAAAAGACTGACTGACTGACTGAGGTACAACACAGAGCTTTGCACAAAAGTGTAGCGATTCAACTTGCCACACCCCATGTAGCACACAAAGGTAGAAGAAGGAGAGAAAAAATAGATTCGAAAGGACTTTAACAGGCAAAAATGTGAGGGAAATGGAACAATGTCATGAAAAAACACGACAGTTTATTGGACATGAGGGTGGGTTCATATAGAGTGAATACACCTGTGTCATTGAGAGCAATTTTGAGTCACATCACTAACAATAAACTCCAGCCATTAGTTCTTGACATCCCGATGGCCCAAACCAGACAGCTTACACAGCTTCACATAGTTCAAACCAACCAACTATCAAAGACTTCATGAACTGATGCCAAGTTATGAATGTGATTAGTGTGTGACCCCGTCAATACTGGTCATTCTATATTTCAACAAACTCATACTTTAAAGTAATCTACAAAGTGAAAAATAAACAACCTCCCAAAGACAATACCCTATTGTCTCCCCTGGAGTGCTGAAGCGCTAGCCATTCAGAAACAGAAGCCGGAGGTCTGTGTTTTAAATAAAACATCAATGAAATGCTCACTAGCGACTTGCCCTATTCAGGTAGGTAGTTACCCGAGGTTCCAGTGAGAAGTCTTGACCAGTAGGGTGCAGCAGGTCGGGTGTGAGGACAAATACTCGCCGAAGACATTGGCTAGGGGTCGCACTATGTCGTGCATTGGCAGAAGTTAGAATTCATGGACCATTGGATAGGGTCCCAGTGGCTTAAGGGTATACGAGCTCGCCTTGTAACCAAAAGGTCCTGGGTTCGACCCCTGTCGGCAGGTGCGTACTGATGAAGATTCCCAAACTAGGACGATACAGCTGTCCAGTACTCACAGGTTTTCCAATGGTTCTCTAACCAATGTCAGCTCATGATGAAATCCTGTGATGAACTTATATAGAAACAAGGTTAATTAGATAGCAACTAAAGTAAGATTCAGTTAGTAAGTTAGATGACGTAATTGACTAAAATGTTTCAACCTAGATAAGAATAGCAACAGAGTTAAATACAGTTAGAGACTCAGTAGATGTGGGATAGAGAATAATGCCATTTAAATTACGACTAAAGTTGAGCAAATAAACTGGATGGCATAACATAAATGACTAGAAATTGAGCGTCGGTCAAGTCAGTAAAAGTGGTGATGAGGTGGAGAAATTAAATTGGGTGCGTGTAGAGAAGAGGAAAGTTGAAAATGTAAAATATTACAGTTGAAAAGACAAAATAATACGAATGAAGAGACAGAAGGAAAGAAATAGAATTTACGTGTCGGGTATTAATATAGATTACGTCTATTGCAGGTGTAGTGATTGAACGAACTTCTTCTGTATGCAGAGTTCAGAACTTAGTAAATGAATTGCCATCGCTTCTGCAGTTTGAAGAAGTTCGATTCGTACAATTTTAGGAAGACTGCTTCGTATTCTGTAGACGACTTTGAAGTTTGTTTGGGGTGTAGCTTGCTGTCCGGAAAGCGAACGCTGGGTATGTCTTTCCAGACTGATATGTATCCACATATGCGTGTTTTGTTTTTGACAGTCTGTTATATTTTACTATGTATATATGGATCAATATTCCATTATAATTAACAATCATTTTTGAACATTCGCTCATACACTTGTCCTCACACATTGTTCGGACATTCATACTATTTCACTCACACACTTGCGTGACATTGATTTTTCCTTGTGTTTGAAAAATACAAGTATCATCGTGAACCTGGTGGTTTTCTGCTTTCCGCCTTCTTGCGTCAGGACTATTAATTACTCGACCAGTACATAACAATAATTTGGCGACGGGGATGGAATGCTGGTGGCCACGGTACGGGAGGTAGCTGGTGGGGCAGTTTTGCTGATTGCTGACATTTTGAACATCGTTGAACAAAATCGATAATATGCTTATCCATATTAGGCCAGTATGCGTAACTGCGGGCAATACTCTTTATCCGCTGAATACCAGGATGTCCCATGTGAAACTGTTTCAGGAGTTTATTTCGTAGTGCGCGTTCTCCAAACATCAAGCAATCTTTTACAACACATAAGGAATTACGACGGGCAAACAGGTGTTTTAGGTCTCCACGCACATGTGGATACATATCACAAACGTATCACCGAACACTTACTGACATGGTTTTACAAAGGAGAAAAGCGATGCCCCCGCAGCTCCTATATCTTAAAACATCTGACAGATTCCGGACACCAAGCTACACCCCAAAGTCGTCTACAAAATATGAAGCAGTCTTCCTTAAAGTATACGAATCAAACTTCTTCATATAGTGCAGAAGCAATGACAATTTACTCGTCTATTCGAAAAGAATCTTTCTACAAAGTTTGGAAAGTTGGTAAAGTAAACAAACAGTTGAGCGAAGAGTCTGTTTACGGCAGTGAATTCATTTACACTTAGCTGAACAATCTCATTTATATATAATTATTCTGTTTTTTATGTGTGTGAACACAGCACCATAATAAAAATTTGGTCTCGAGTGTTGCTTAAATTATCAGAATACTTCAAAACAGTAATGAATGATCAAAATTGTAGCCACGGAGGTGGAGGGTTGGAGTTTAGATCATAAAAACAAGAAAACAAAGACTTGTTTTCGTCAAGACTTTCCAGAATCCTACAACAACAAAAACAACAGCAACAATTCAGTTTAATAGCTCTCCGGACACATTCAACGGAGACTAAAATTATTAGGCGTGAATTAATTTAGAAGGTAGGCACAAATGCAGGATGTCATACACAACTCACTGACTGACTGATATGAGTATCCGAATACCCCTTATATCAGCCAGCAGTCGATGCTAGCCAGTGATCGAAGCACTGGACAGGTGTTTCACTTATTTGAGCCGAGCTCATCATCGGTGCACTTGGTGTAACTTAGATTAGACAGCCTAACTAGTTCCAATTACTTCGGTGAACTGATGATCCCATAGAGAAAATGTTTTCAAAAGAATAGTTATTGAACAAAGAACATTCCTTTCAAAAACCTGCTCTTCATCAGGTTCTACAGTTATGTATATACATAATAGTGAAGGAATTAGTGTTATTAAAAACATTCATGTTCTTTAAATAACATCGAATGAATGAAAACATCATTGCAAAGTGGAATCCAAAATCGAATTGCCTTCCTAAATATCCTCCTTACAAGAAAGCCAGATGGTGCTTAAAAAGAAGTTTGCACAGAAAAAGTACATGGACATGGCAGGACAATATACACACTTTCACAGCTTCGTTCCTCTCCAGTATAAAAGAAATTTAGTAAGGATCCAGAGCCACAGGTTTTTTTTATTACAGCTTGATTCCACACCGTATTGTTGGTACAAGTATGGAATTTTCACCATGGATATCGGTAGCCCAAATTTCACAAGCCGACCATTGATATCAGGTGTGCGTCGGCAGGAGATCGAACCTCGGACAATGTGCATGGTCGGCGAGAGTCCTAATCACAATGCCACCGACGCAGCCACAGGGTTAGAGCTATATGCTCAGAAGAGGTAACTGAAGATGAATTAAGCATTGTATATGATACCTTAATTGAAAATACCTATCCAAACAAATTCATCAGGAAAAATATAACCAAGAAACTTGAAATCGGCTATTTACTATCTGTAAACAAGAAGCCTTCATACATACAACTGCAATTCAAGAGTGATATACATAGCAAAGTAATTAGGAAGCAGTTAAGAAAATCACTTCAAAGAACCTTTAATGCTGGCAAACTACACGCCTTATTCTCTACACGACCGATGGTGCTACCTCGACTGAAAGATGAAGTACCTACACTAGCTAGCCACTTCTAACTCTATCTATCAATTAAACTGTGCTTGTGATGGAGCGGGTTATATTGGCTGTTG